GGTGTGTGTGTTGGAATCAGTGAGACTGGCTCAGGATAGCCTTCAAAGTTGCTGTACATTGGTCACTAAGAGTAGAAGACAACTCGATGGCACATAACAATAGCAACAACAACAACATTATAATATCATTAGGATGGAGAGGAGATTGAAACTGTCAAGAACTACCCACAATTAACACCCTTGGTACCAGCATTCAGAAACTAAGAAGATGCATTGCACTGGGAAAATCTGCAGTTAGGGACCCATCCAAATTATTGAGGAGTAATGATGTCAGTTTGAGGACTGAAGTCCAACTGATTCATGCCATGGTCTGATTACTTCTGATTACTTGCTATGCATCTGGGAGCTGGACAATAAATAAGTATTCCAGACAGAGAATTGACCCCTTTGAGCTGCGGTGTTGGAGAAGAGCACTGAACATCCTATGCATGGCCAAGAGAACAAATAGCTATGTCTTGGAGAAAGTACAGCCAGGGTGCTCTTTTGAGGCAAGAATGATGGGATTTCACCTCACATACTTTAAGCATGTTGCTAGGAGAGGCTATACTCCTTGGAGAAGGAGATAATTTTGGGAAGGGTGGAGGGTCAGTGAAGGAAAGCAAAATGCTTTTTTAGGTGGACTGATATGGTGACTAATGCAATGGGCTCTTGTGTGTCAGGAAGTGTGAGGATGGCATAGGATAGAACAAGAGTCAGATCTTTTGTTGATAGGGTTGCTGTAAAGTCTACTCAAGTTGACGGCACTTAACACAACATGCTCCTCCTTGTTGCCTTTCCTTCCTTTACTCCCTAGCCATTGGCCAGTTCTCACGACTCTATTCTTAAAAGGTATCCTGAATTTGTTCACTTTCTTCACAAATACCATCCTTAGATCCACCATAATTTCTCACCTGGTTTACTGCAAGAGCCATTTAACTACTTTTCTTGCTACTACTCATGTGCCCTTATTCATTATCTGCAAAGCAGTCAGAATGATCTTATGAAAATAGAAATCAGAACACTCCAGTCTTCTGATTCAACATTTCAATGTTTTCTCACTGCAATTAGGATAAAATCATATTCATCAAGGGTTGGAAGATTCAAATTGGTTTTATTGTGGTTTAGGATACTTTTGGTTTGTAGTTGTTTTGTTGTTGCTGTTTTTAATGATCTAAAGATACAGTGCTTCCAACAAATTAGTAAGAGTTTCTTTCTCTTCAGGAGAATTAGATGGTGTCTAGCCACTCTAATAACTGTCCTGACCAAGAGGGTAGATGATGGTCCTGGATGTTGCTGCTAAGTCATTATTAGGTGTCATCAACTCATAGTGACCTTATAAACAGCAGATCTGAACTCTGTCCTGTCCAGTGCCAGATTCATAATTTCCCTCAGGCTCAAGATCACTGTAATCATTCATGTAGTCAATCTAGCTCATTGAGGCCCTTTCTTTATCTCTCTCTCTACATGTCCCAGTATGACGTCTTTTCCCAAGGACTGCCCCCTCATAATAACATGCTCAAAGTATGTGAGATGAAGTTTTACCACCCCTGCCTCTAAGGACAATATTAGTTCACTTCTTCCAAGACAGACTCTTCTGTTCTTTTGGCAGTTTGTGGTATATTCAACACTCTGCCAGTGTCACAATGCAAAAGCATCACTTCTTTGGTCTTCCTTATTCATTGTCCAGCTTTTAGATGCAAAGAAAGAAAATTAAAATATCAGGGCTTGCATTAGGCTCACTTTAGTATTTAAACTGACATTCTTGCTGTTTAGCTCTTTGGAGAGGTCCTTAACCACAGATTTCCTCAATGTAACACCTTTTTTGGTTTCTTGAATCTGTTACCAGCGGTATTCATTGTGAGTCCAAGTAAAGTGAGATAATTTATTACTTCAGTCTTTTTTCCATCTATCACGATGTTGCTTACTGGCCTAGTGGTGAGAGAATTTTTGCTTTCTTGAAGTTATGATGTAACTGACATTGAGGGTTGTAGTTTATTTTTGGTTCAGGGTTTTTTGGTTGTTGTTTTATCTTCTTCAGTAAATACTTCAATCCTGCTTTACTTTCTACAAGCAAGGTTGTATCATCTGCATAACCTGACAGTAGATTTCCCTAATACAATTAGTTTTTTTTATTTCCTGACTGTTTGTGCTAAGAGTGTTAATTGTGGAGCTAAGCAAGCCAAAATTGTTAACAACCTCAATCTCTTCTCCATCTATCATTGTGCTGCCAATTGGCCCAGTGAAAAGAATCTTTGTCTTCTTGATTCAATATCAAGCTTCAATCCATTTTGAAAGCTACAGTCCTTGCCCTTCTGCAGCAAACAATATGTATAGACACTCTTAAATGGAAACCTAATTTGCTATGTATCTTTTACAGAAAGCACAATTTAAAAAAGGAGGAGGTAATAAGGAAGAGAAATTAGAGTACTTAAAATAGAACAACTAGAACGGAATTAAAGAGAATGCTGACCTACTGTGAAAAATTTAACTAATGTTACTGAACAATTTGTGTAGAAACTGTCAAGTGGTAATTTGCTGTGTAAACTTTCACTGAAAACACAATATTATTTTAAAAATAAGGTAAAATAAAAACCACATCTAATTTAATTACTCTCCCTCTCTCTGACCTCCCCCTCCAAAATAATCTAGGCTTAGCAGGGCACCTCTGCAAAATTCAACGTTGTACCTCTGACTCTAAGGTGACTTCTGTGGCTCTCTTCATGGCATGTATATCCCAACTGTATGTAAGAAGCAAAGAAAAAGGAGGAGGGGAAAAGTCATGGACTCAGAGTTTGATGGGCAGAGTGAGGAGGTGAAGGAACAGGAAAGATCCAGTGGGGACCTGAGCAGATGGAGTAATAGTAGGCATATATCAATGGTGATTAATTGTATATAACACAGTGTAGGGGAATGATTGTATGAAATAGAATGTGAATGAAGGGTCCTGGAAGATTTTATTTTCTAGGTAAGTAATTTCTGTGGATCCCCAACTAAACACAGAGGCAAGATAATCTGTCTTACCTGCAGTTGGAATCTTATGTGCTTCCTCAAAACTATGCAGAGGAGCTGCTTTGAGTGCAATGGGTGGATTCAGAAGAGTGATCTTTGCTTTTGGTGGAATCAATCCTCGTTCCATCATACTTAAAATCCCTAAAGAAGTAAGATTAGTAGAATACAAGCTCAATTCTAAGCATCTTCACAAAGTCTACATTCCATAAATGTCATTTCCCCACCCCCCGTTTTTCATTATGGTTATGAGGCTTCCTCCTAATGCCTTTAATCCCATGTGTGGGAAAAATAACAACTGTGTATGTTCATATAAGGCTAATAACTCAAGGGGAAAATGACATTTCTAATAGTAGGAAGAAAGTTACAATAAGATTATTTTATTTTAAGGTACAAAAAAATACCTTGAAAATGAGCTATACAGCTTCTTTACACTTAAAGCATTTTCAGTTATTGATTATAGTTATGAAAATTTCAGAAAAAATCAGCTGTACATCCTTAAAATTTAACGTCTTTTGTACAGAAAGAAAAAAGTCAATATGCTTGAAATCATGCCCCTGTTTTAGAATCAGTCATGTTTTATAGAAGTTATTTTAGATCTTTCTCATTACCCAAAGACATGAATGCTTAACAGCATGGTTAGTACTAATACAATTTATGATTTCTAGAATTCATATTGTGTCAGCATGACTGAGACAAAAGTTTTTAAGGATAAAAGGCACTGCTAAGTAAAACAAATCTATGAAAAAATGAATACATGAACACACACTTTTGCCAAGGGTAAACTATTGTTAAAATGGATTTATTATATTGAAGCCAGTACTCAAAACAGATTTGTGGAAAAGCCTTGTCTTTTTCTTTTCGTCTTTGTGTTACAGAAAAAAAAGAAGTAAAGATCTGTGGGTTCTCAATAAAACCCTAGTCTGGCACCACCAACATGAACTAAGTTTAAAAAGTTGAAAGGCATTTTAAGAAGGACTAGTGTTGCTTCCTATTGCCTTATGACCTCAATTACTGTTTTATCTTGTTATTAAGGATGTTAACTGTTTATTGCTATAGGAATTCTGAAGAATGATCACTAAAGGCATTGAACAGCTGAAGAATAGTAGTGAAAGAGATTTTCAGTTTATGTACTAAAAAATGTTTTCTGGAGGAGATTTTCTTACTAAATGTAAAAATTATTTGACCTCATCACAGACTTGTCTAAAACTCTGAGATTAGAGCCTAGAGATCTGCATCATTGAGGCTTTTCAGGAGACACTCAAGTTTGAGAACCAAGACTGAGAACTAATAGAATTGCAATTCTTTACTAAATAAGTGACACAGAAGTTAAAGAACATAGCTATTAACCAAAAGATTGATGTTTCAAACTCACTAACTCCTCTACATTCTGTAAAGATTAAGAGCAATGGAAATCCTAGGGGGTGGATGTATTCTGTTCTATGTGTTCACTGTAAGTCAGAATTAAAGACAATGGGTTTGGTTTTGATTTAAACAATCAAAAAAATTTAGTTAAAATGTGTTAGGTTTATTAAAAATATGTATTTTTGAAAATATAAAATTTTAAATATTGAGTATGAGTAAAATCTTGCTGAAGATTATCCAAAAGCAGGGAGTACTAGAAGGATATCTATTTATTTTTTATTGATTAAGTAAAGATATTTGACTGTGTGGATCACAACAAACTGTGGCTAACATTGAAAAGAATGGGAACCTCAGAATACTTGATTGTGCTCATGTGAATGATCAGGAATCTGTTATCTGAACAGAGCATGGTTCAAGATCAAGAACGGAATGCATCAGGGATATATCCTTTCTCCATAGCATTTCAGTCGATATGCTAAATAGATCATTCCAGAAGCTAGACTTTATTAAGAAGAATGTGGCATCGGGACTGAAGGAAGATTCATCAACAACTTTGTGTTATGTAGTTGACACAGCCTTGCTTGCTGAAAGTGAGGAGGACTTGAAGTGATTGCTGCAGAATATCAAGGACTACAGCCTTCAGTATGGCATCTTTTTGCCACTAGGCCACCATTATCATCTTAATATCAAGGTAACAAAATTTTGCCCATTATGGTCAAAGAGGCATGATCATAACAGATACAGAAAGGATTGAAATTATTAATGATTTAATCGTGCTTGGATCCACAATCAATACCCTTTGTACCAGTAGTCAGGAAATCAAAATAGAAGTTGCAATGGGAAAAATCTGCTATCAAGGACCTCTCCAGAATGCTCAAGAGCAACAATGTTAGTCTACAGACTAAAGTGCACCTGATCCAAGCCATGATCTTCTCAGTTGCTTACTATGGATCTAAAAGCTGGACAATGACCAAAGATGACAGAAGAACTACTAATGCCTTTGAATTGTGGTACTGGAGAAGAATATTGAATATACTATGGAATTCCAAGAGAACAAACAGGTCTGTCCTGGAGAAAGTGAAATCAGTACGCTCCTTGCAGGCAAGGATGGTGAAACTCAGTCTCATATACTTTGGACATGTTGTCAGGAGGGGCCAGTCCTTGGAGAAGGACATTATGCTTGGAAGAGTAGAAAGTCAGGAAGACCCTTGATGAGATGAAGTGACACAGTATGACAATACAGTCATGTGTGTCAGAGATAGTGAAGTTGGTTCAGGATAGGACAAGATGAAGAGCCATTGTTCATAAGGTTGATATGAGCCATACTTGACTCAACTGCAAGTT